GCAGGGCCCCCAAAGAATCCTATTTTGCACAACTGAAGCATCAAAACCACTACATTAAGTATTTGTACTTAACAGAAATTGCCTATTCAAGCCTTCAAAAACATGGAGTATCCAAGCTATTTTAGGACAGCCTTTTGTGGAGAAAAGCCACGAGTGTGTTAAGATTGTAACGTTTCGTACAAAGCTAACATCATGAGCTGGATTCAAAAAGCTGTTTATACAGATCATCATGGTGAGCTACAAAATATTATTATCTCAACTTCCGGAAAACATACTGTGTGTGGACCTTTCGATACAAAATCTGGATTCATACACAGAAAAAATTCCATGCCATATTTTGAATGGGGTGGCCAAGTATCTGGTTTTTGACTGGAGGTTCTAGGGATCCTGGAAGCTTTGGTGAGAACCACTGACAGAGCCGTTCAAAGTCCCCTCAGTGGTACAGCAGGGCTAAGGAAGGCTCCCTACTTGCCCTGGCTCCATGCAGTTCCTGGAAAACTGCTGGCAGGTCCCTGTGGCTACTAGGTGTAGCGGGAGCTAGGAAGGTTCCAACCTCTGAGCACTGATTCCACAACTCCAATTCCGCAGTGTCATGATCATGAGAGTTAACCAGCAGCCTGGGGACTAAGGGGTTAATTATGTCCCTTACCTAAGCCAGGTAGAGTTGTCCAATAGCAATGTCGGTAGGAATTTCAAACTGGGACAAAGGAATTTTTGTTTTTTCCCCTCCTTTGGTCCTGAGCAGTTTCTCTCCAGCTACTAAGGGAGACAGAATGTCTCCCTCCAAGAATAGACGCATCACTATCTGTAAGTAGGGTAAGGTTTAGATAAATCTGTTCGGTTTTATTGTTTTATGGTTTGGGAAATGGGATCTGATGTCTGTGAATTTTTAAAAATGGGTTTTGCTCTCCTTTGTAATTAAGTCTTGGCCCATGGTGGGGTTTCCCCCATGAGTATATTCATTTGTGACTTTTCCATCTAGTCACTATGCTTGCAACAGGAATATTGTTGTGATAATAAAAGTGTTTTCCCTTTTCTTTTTATTAACCTGGTATTGGTTAATTTGTGTGTCCTGGTTTTTACCTTAGGGGTGAGATTTCCCAAGTGATCTTTCCCCTGATTTTTCTTATCATTACTTGGGTGGTAGCAGCAAATTTTTTATCCCTAAAATCCAGGGTTTTAAGATTTTTTGGGGAAGGTTTATACCAAAGCCTGGAAAGAGACGGTTTTGGGGTACTTTTGTGGGCCCCCACTTCTGCATTGATCGTGCCAGAGTGGGAAAAATGCCTTGACACCCGGGAACCAATGGGAGTTGCAGGGGCGCTGCCTGAAGGCTTGAGCAGCATGTGGCACATTCCCTCCCAACCACCTAGTAGCCCCAGGGACCTCCTGGCCATTTCCTGGGAGCGCCACCTGGACTCCATACCTACTCCTGTGCACCAACCCAGTCCTAACTCCCTTGTTCCAACCCTGAGCCCCTTCCCACATCCTGAACCCCTTGGCTCCAGCTCTGAGCCCCTTCTGTGCCCTAAACTCCTCATCCCTGGCCCCACTCCAGGCCCCACAACCCCTCTGCATATCACCCCTCTGCCTCATCTTGAGCCCCCTCTCACACCCAAACTCCCTCCCAGAGTCCACACTGCCTCCTACAGTCTGAACCCCGTGGCTCAACCCAGAGCCCCATCCTGCACCCCAAACCTCCAGCCAGAGTCCTCACGCCTCCCCTAGACCCCAACTCCCTGTCCCAGTCTTGAGTTCCCTTCCGCACCACAAACCCCTCATCCCCAGGCCCACCTCAGAACCCACATCCCCAGCCTGAGCCTTCATCCCTCACACTCCAACCCTCTGCTCTGGTGAAATCGAGGGAAGGAAACAAAGGATAGAGTGAGGGTGGTTAGGCCTTGGGGAAGGGGCAGGCAGGGGGCAGAACACAGGTATTTGGTTTTGTGCCATTAGAAAGTTGGCAACCCTGTTTTTGAATGGCATGTTTAATATTCTGAAATATGAAAAATTATATTTAGTGGCAACAGGTAAATGCAGTGTTAACGAGATTTAAAGGCTACATCTGTCTCTCAAACAGCAGATAAGACAAATCCCTCTCATCTTTGTGTTTTAATCTGTCAATTGTAGTTTCGATGAGCATGCAAATATGACCGTTTTACTCTCTAATTTCACAGAACACAAAAGGGAACAAAAATAGTTTTGTGTTACAGTTGTGTCTTCTGAGATTAATAATTAAACTCCATGAAAATCAAAATGATTATGTTTCCTACTCCCAACCCCCTTTGGATGCTATGTTTTTCTTTTAACTGTTTTTTGCCTTCCCTCATGTAATTGTTAGGCCTCCTAATTGGGATGAATAGGCCGGGGATGTGTACTAAGTTTCTTTTAACAAAGAACTTTGCTTTATCAATAAAAAGGCTTTGAAGGCAAGGGGAGCTTATTGTTAATTCTTTTCTTAATTTTCTATTTTATTTCATTTTTATATACATTTGGTGCTAATAAAAGAAACCAGACAGGCCTAGAGATTGAAGTCCTGTGTTTATCTGTAGCCAGAGAAGAACCCCCCTTGTAACATCCATTTTTGCTTGCCTTGAGCATGCAGGGCACACAGAGCAGAAGGCCCAGGCTGTGTGACCGTGAATGGCTGTAAACAGAGATACGCCAATTGCTGACCAAGAGGCTGCCAAGGAGTGCCCTTGACTCAAACCCATATTGATACGAACACACATCCAGCCGCGGGGGGAGGAATCTCTTGCCCAGTAAAAAAATGTCTAGTACTCACAATTTAGTTCTCTCTCTTGCAAGTGTAAATTAATTTGAAACTTGCTTGTAAGAACTGGCACCACAAAACGGACCAGTACAATTTGGCATGTTAGATAAGAAAGAGGATACGGGCCCCCAGGGGTATATAGATGGGTCCAGCAGCACATTTTCTCTGAGTGTCAATCTACCATCTATCTGCTGGTCGGGTTAGGTGTTTGATCTCCCGAGGTTCCAAGGGGACGCCCACCTCGTATTCATCTTTCCTAGGAATTGAGAGATCGGCCCTGGCCTGACACGCTGGAGTCGAGAGGCACAGAAAGGGGTAAAAATTGTACCTGGATGTGGTCCTTTGCTTAAGTATATATATACACATAGTGTTAGAGCTCTTTAAAGATTAAGCTGTCACTTGGTACCATTATTTCTATTTTCTATCTTTACCTTTTTCCTGTAACCATTTTTAAAAATCTATATTTATATTTGCTAGCATTTAAGAAATAGAGCAATAGCCATTGTAACCATATGATTTATGAGCTTCTTTAATAAACCTGTAACTGTTTATGCTTTAACCTGACTCCTTCAGTTGCTGTAATAGAACCAAGCACAATTTAAAAGAATTTCAGCCGGTCATAAAGGGACAGACATAGGGAGAGCTTGGGCGTTTGGATCTGAGTCACTCCCAGGTGACAAGATCCGTTGGGGCACCTTTCCAGCCTTTCCCAGGCTGCCCGCTGTGAAGGAACTTTGTGTTCTAGCAGTTAAAATCTAAGGTGTAATAAGCTCTTCCTACACACTGGGGTGTCTGTTAGCCTGCTGGCCACCCTCTGCGATGGGACCCCGGTCCTAGCAGTAAAGACACGGACGTTAAACCTTTTCTCGGAAACACACACACACACACACACACACACACACACACACACACACACACTGCCCTGACCGTCGGCTGACATTATCCCAGTGTTTCTAACGCTCACATTTTTTCTGTGAAATTCATGAGTTTATAGATTTCCTCTATAAAGCTCCAGCTTCTGAAGATTGCATAAAAATTGAGCTCTCCTTAAAAACAAGAAACCAAACAAACCCCCCCCCCAAAGAAAACAAAAAAAAATCCAACATTTTTATAGACTTTATGGCTGCGGAGAAAAGTTTGAAAACGTGAAACAAGTGCACCCTAGCAGCTCAAACCAAGGAAAATAAAAAAAAGACCCAAAATTTAGGATTGTTAAAAACCCTCCTGATTTTTAAGCCCATCTCGTGACGTTGGGCTCTTTGCTAGGATTCGGGAATGTTTGGATTTGGCATTCTTTTCATTTGCTGCTAAGTTACATCAAGGTGAGTAGAAGTTCAAGCCTTCCCCAAAATGCTCTGACTCAAGCCTGCCCAGGAAGGACCATCTCTTGGGAACAAAGAACAGGGTTGATCCCCATGGCCTCATTTTATTCTTTGACAACTAGATTTTCAGTTAGAACCAGCTGTGATGGCCAGTGGAGGCAACAGCCTCACCGGGCCCCTGGGTGGGGCGGGGGGCTGCACCACACTCCTTGAAAGGGTGAGGCCTTGGGCAGAAGGAACAGCCCTCAGCACCATCCAGAGCATGCCATGCCATGCCCTTCCTCCCCCTCTCCCACCAGCAGCCCTCACAGCTGCTTGTAATGCAACACAGCAGCAATCCAGCGGCAATTTAACAGCAGTGGCCGGAGCTCTGGGCCCCTTCGAATCACTGGCCCCCGAGGCAACTGCTTTTTGCTCCTCCCCCATCAGCAGGTGTGGTGGCAGTACATTATTTTTGAGGTAGACTTAGATAGCAAAAACCATTTCACATGAGCCACCAAAATATTCAACCATTTTTAAGGTTAATCTATCCACCCACTTTTCTTTAAAAAAAAAATGTTCTGCATAAGTAAGTAAAGGCTATAACCCCGTACTGACAACATCTCATAGAAATACGAAACAGAGCATCCCAAGAATCAAATTTTCATTGTAAAGCTGTTTCAGTTTTCTCATTTAATATCTTTGGCGATGAACTGGTCTTACACGGTAATCTCAATGTTGGACTATATGTCACAGAAGAGATATTTTATGTGAAATTAAATTAGCATTTGTCTATATTTCATCATGCTACTACACTGCCTCATGTGTCATTGATAGCGCAGTAATGATGAATGATACTGTATAAGCATTTAAGGGCAGACATCCATAATGAAGCACGGTAGTTGACTAACATGCTTATTACTTACCACACTGAGTCCCAGCAATTCTCTGTAAAAGTAGTCCATGTTGTTCCTTTGTAGGCTGTCAAGATAGTGCCGGAGCCGAGTATACGTGTACGGGTAGCAGTAGGCAAATTGGTAAATGTCATCCTCTCGGTCAAAGCAAAAAGCAAATGACATGACATAGTTCTTTCTGTGGTCTGGGCAGCGATAGTAATATACGTTTTTAGGTGGCAGCCTTTGCCTAAAAAACAAAACACATACACACACGTGGACATAAGAATCCTGACAAATCCAAACCCTACAGTAAAACTAACTGAAATTCATATCTGAGGTCAAACGAATCAAGTGAACCAAGTGGAGCCTTATTGGCTCAGAGGTTGGTAACTGGACGGCAAACTTTCAAGGACATTCTCGGAACACGTTCTAGATGGATTATGGGGAATGAGACTGTGCATGGATGCTGTCTCTCTTCAGGCCTGGGGCTTAGGCATATGTATAATGTCTTGACAAGACAGACGTTGAACTCTGGGATTTTTCAGTACTGCTATTCAGCTTAATGGAGACGAAATATATGGAAACAGCATGAGGGTCAAGAAAAATCAGTTACTGGGAAACAAAAACCTCTTTGTAGGAAGCCAGTGTGATCTCCCTCTGAGCCAATTGAATGGATGGAGCAAGACCAAGCTGGCCCCGCCCCTGGAAGTGGAGGGGCAGAGCAGGAAGTAGAAAGGCAGGGGCCCTAGCTCAGTCATGGCAGTGCCAGGGAAGGAAACAGACTTGTTCTGCTCTCAGCTACCCACTGACCCTGCCCCAAGCCACATGCTACCTTGGACCTAGAGAGGCCCACAGCCAAGGAGGAGGTGGAGCTGGTAGGACTACCAGTAGCTGAATACCTGAGGAGCTGGAGCTGGGGGTCTGCTAGTGCCCAACTATCCTGACGAACTGGAAGAACCAGAGCTGGTGGGTCTACCCGGCCGAGTAGCTGGACAGACCTGAGGAGCCTGACCTAGAGTTTGGGTAGGAAGCAGCCCAGGGGTTTTTGGTTAACAGTTTGTTGCCTTAACAGAGAGTCAGTGTGTTGCAGGAAGATCCCTACTGACTTGGTGGGGGGACATCCTGTCTCTGTTAGGGCTCTGGGCTGGAACACAGTAAAGTTGGATGGGCCGGTGTTCCCTTAACTCCTGCCACCCCACAAGTGGGGTGGCAACCTCCCCACCATAGGTCTTAAGACCACTGCTTACCAGCACTCCCCTGCCTAAGGGCTAACATTACAGCCTGCTTGCTGGAGCTCCCCTGCCTAAGGGATCGCACTACAGCCTGCTTGCTGGAGCTCCCCTGTGTAAGCGACAATGCTACAGCCTGCCTACCAGTGCTCCCTTGCCTAAGGGGGCAGTGCTATAGGCTGTTCACCCAGGGTATGTCTACATTTGCACCCTAGCTTGAACTAGGGATGCAAATGCAGGCATTCGAAATTGCTAATGAAGCGGTGATTTAAATATCCCACGCTTTGTTAGCATGATCTCGCCAGTGCGCTAGTTCGAATCACAGCTGATTCAAATGAGGAAGTGCATGCCAGGACACATTAGTTCGAACCAAACCCCTTGGTTCGCACTAACGTTACTCCTCATTTTTGATCAAAACAAAGAACACACTGCCACTTAAGGAAACAAAGAAAAACGGGAATGAAGGCACTATAGACTAAACAAAGATAGCAGCCTTTCTGCCATAACTAGGCAAGGGGGATACATGATGTCACTTGTAGGACGAGTCCCATTCGAGGATGAGCTTAGCAGAGAGTTCTTCATGACACTGCAGTCTCTGACATCACATTTTCCCCCAGTTTTATCAGCAGTGAGGTCAGAGATACCAGTGTTCATTTATTTAAATTAGTTATGATGGTATGATCAGAGTTTTACCAGAAGCAGCTGGCCAACAAAATACTGCCTTAGGAGACTGATAGCAGACTTACAAAGTGCAATTATCTTCTTCCCCCCTTTCCCCCCAGCCCTGGCCTCCTGCCTAAATAACAAACAATT